CATCCTGAGCGGACCCTACTGCTCACAGGCAGACCCACAATGCCCCCGCCTCCCTCCCAGGCCATCTGCCTCTGCCCGCCCGGCCAGCAGACACTCGGTGAGGGTCCTGGGAAGGGTCCTGGGAAGCCCATCGTGCTGGCCTCCCCTGCCCCATCCCCTGTGGTGTGCCCTGGAAGAGGCAGCCATGTCCTTGCAGCTGGCAGAGCTAGGCACAGCCACAGTTGAGTGGTGGGGACGTAGGGATTTGCTGAGGTCTGTGATGCCCCAGATCTTTTCTGGGGCTGGGTTTCTGTTTGATGAGCAAGGGACTGTCTTAAAAACTGTTGAGATGCAGTAGAATATTACTCAGCCATAAAACGGACCTGGCATGTCTAGGAAAGCCCTGTGTCAGGTGAAAGAAGGTGAATAGCCACAAAGAACATGCATGCTGTGACCTTATTTATATGACATGTCCAGAGGATAATCAGTAGGCACAGAAGATGGGGTAGTGGTAGCCTTGAATTTACTATGTAGCCCAGCCCAGGCTGGCCTTGAATTCATGGCAGTCCTCCTGCCTCAGCCTCCTGAGTGCTGGGATCCCAGGTGTGCACCACTGCACCTGGATGTAGTTTATTCTCTCTCAGAGCAGATACTTGGCCAAACTCCATGGCAGGCACTGGTGAGCTCAGCCAGACCTCAATTCTGTCCCTCTTGCCTTGGCTGGCTGCAGCTACTGGGAGTCTGCCAGGTGCCCGTGTAGTCTGGGGTCAGCCAGAGTTCTTGTTTTCTGGGTTATCAGACCTCGGGGCGCCGGGTGGCTCAGTGTGGGTCACCACGGGGCCTCGTGCTCAGGATGACAGCAGAAGCCAGGACTCTTCCAGCACAGAGCACTTGGCCTGCACTTGGCAGTGTGTCTTGCCACCCTCTGTCCCTGCATCTGTGAGAGAGCTGCTCCCACGGGCTCAGAGCAGAGCTGCGCAGATGGAGCCCCTGGGAGCTGCTCCCCATGACTTCCGTGGCGGCCCCAGGGGGCACATGCTCTGACCCTGTGAGGGGCACACGGTGAAGACACTGCCTTGGGGATGAGGGTGGGCAGGAGAGCTTCTGGAGGGGGTGGTGCCGGACGTGGTTCCATCCTAAGGGAATGGGCGGCTTGTCCCTGCCCGAGGGGCCACCAGGAGGTTGCTTTGGGGGTCCCACGGGTGGGACCTCTGGCTCTCAGTGCAGAGAGCTTTTCCTAAGGCAAACCCCTTAGGAAAACTCGCTATAAACATAAGGCAGATAGATCTGTAATCCCTGCACTGTGGGAGGCTGAGGCAGGAGGATTGCAAATTCAAACCCACCCTGGGCAATTAAATGAGACCTTGTCTCAAAATATAAAATGGGCTGGGAATCAGCTCAGTACAAAGGCCCTGGGCTCAACCCCCAGTACTGCAACAAACACAAACAACACTTGCAGGTGTTCCGCATCCACAGGCCTTTGCCGGGCCTGCGGTGGGAGGGGCTGGGGCCTGGGACAGTGCCCTGTGAGGCTGGGCCCCAGGTCCATCTGCGCACTTCTGAGCCGGTGGCTGCAGACTCTAGGCCGGAAGCAGAGGCAGCACAGCCCCTGGTCAACTGTGGCGTTCCCTGCCCTGGGGAGGAGCTCGGGATAGCAGGGGCATCCCCCACCCTGGCGGGAGCCAGGATGAGGTACAGAGAGGATGGTGGATACGAAATGACACAAATTGTAAATTGCGCACAGATGTTAGTGCCTGTTACTGTGGTAACCGCCCAGTGAATGCGGACCTCATGCCCCGGATAGCGGTGATTCTGTTTAATTTAATAGCATTGTTACTTTCCCCACCATAAAAATAACATGCATTATGCATGCGTCTAAATGCACCAGACGCACACATTAAATTCTGCAATTTTGTCAGTTATACCCCAATAAAGCAATTAAAAATAATGCACATTCATTACAGAAAATGTAGAAAACACAGAAAAGTAGAAAGAGGAGAAAAGATTATCCTGTTTTAACCACACCAAAGCAATCCCTGTTAGCATTTTGGAGAATCCTCTCCTGGCTTTCCCTCTGTGCTTGCTTGCTTCACAGGGCTCTGTGATCACTGGTCTGTGTAATTAGACACGTTTTATATACAACTTTACATCCTGTTCTTTCTCCTTGGGGGGTTTTATGTGTAGTAACCAGAGCCAAAGCCACCCTGGGACCCAGCCTAGCTAGGTTGAGGCTCCGACTTCAGTCCCTGGCCGGGGCACCTGCCCATGGAGCGACAGCACTGGGTGAATCCGTCCTCCGTGGCCCTGCAGCAGTCTTCCCCAGCCTGCGGCTTTCCTGGTCCAAGTGCCTGGATCAGTGCATGCGTGCAGCTTCTCATGTCACTTCTAACCCTTCTCTCTCCTCTCCTGTCACCATGAAAGCTGGCATCTACCAGGGCACAGAGGGCCAGGCAGCCCGGGGCTGTCTCTGAAAGGCATGCGTTCAGCAAGTGTCTGGTCGCGCCCACTACACGGAGGACCACGGAGGCCTTCAAGTGTGCTGAGGCCTTGAAAGCCCGAGAGCTGCAGTGGTAGAGAGATAGGTGGCAGGCAGGGAAAGTGTCCCGGAAGAAAAGACCAGGATGAGGGGCAGCAGGCTGCTCTGCACGGGATCCGGGTGCGTATGGCAGATTCAGCAAGGGGCTCACGTTGGGTCTTTGAGGAGCAGAAGTGACAGAAGGGATGGTGGAGACCGGAGCCCACGGTCAGGAGCGGCAGGAGGGAGATGGAGCAGGAGGAGGCTGGGCCGGACGGAGTGCATTTCCTTTGGCTGAGTTAAAGCCCAAAAGCAGGGCTACTGAGGCCCTGGGGGGCTGGGCCGGGGCTTGGCCAGCACCTCTGCCCCACTGAGTTCCATGGAGAAGGGGGAAGGTGCATAGTTTGGGTTACTGGGGAGCCCCGCTGGGCCGTCAGGCCACTCTGAGACCTTTGTTGTCCTTTGAAGTGGGGACCCACAAGGGGCTTGAGCAGGGGTGACACAGTCAGTCTCTGGTGTCCCGGCCCCCTCCACGGCCCACGCAGCCATCCTGTAGTGGGCGAGGGAGACGTGAATGTATCCGCTAGGAGGCGTCCAGGCAGGATGGGGTGCAAGGTGGAAGGAGGGAAGAGGGTCCTCTGGAGTACTTGCGAAGCATTTCGAATGCTAGGAATGCAAACAGAGTAGAAATCACATGAGGGCTCCAGTAAAGCTTGCTGGTGGAACAGCCTGTGCTTTGGGGTGGTGAGAGGACTTCAGAGGCCTCTGCCCCCGGAAGGGGTGGCTTTCCTTCTGCCAGCCTGGGCTGCTGTCCCCTCTGCCAGGCTGGCCCTGGGATGTGTGATCGCCTCATGGAGTTTGAAAACCTTGGTGGGGGTCCTCTTACTCCCCAGTGTCAGGACTGGGGCTCTGCCCTGCAGGGTGCCAGCCCTGGGTGCCCAAGGCTCCAGGTATCAGGGTGACCACAGGAGGCAGGTGTCTAGGTGCCTTGGAGAGCCCTGGGAGGGCAGAAGCGGAGTGGGCAGCAGGAGCTGCAGGCCCGGCCTGGCTCCAGGGTGCACATTTGGGGGGGGTCCCAGTGCTCCGAGGGGCAGGGGCCATGACCCAACCCGGTGAGTGCCACCCCTGCAGGCGCTGTGTGTCCCTCTTCAGTGGGCTGGCGAGGGCTGGCCTGTCCCAGTGGCTAGAGCACAGGGCCCCGGCGGGTCTAAGTCACGAGGGCGAGGCCACGTCCAGTGGCTCTAGGTGCCACCCTTGCCTCTACTTTTCATCCGGTGCTGAGGTGTCTGCTGTGGCACCCGTCCCAACCCCAGCCCGGTCCTCTCTAGGGCTCCCCAAAGGGTCCATGTGCAGCTCACTGTCTTGCCCTTTGCAGAGCTGCCCCATGCCCCCCACCATCCACCCCCGAGGCTCCAGCCCCAGCCCTGGACCCACACCACCTGCTGTCCTGTGTCCTGCCTGGTTCCTGCAGAGGGAGGGACAGGAAGCCCTCAAAGCCCCAGGGGTGCTGGGGGCTGTCTCATGAGCGCCCCTGCTGTCTCTCCACAGCCGATATCATCTCTACTGTTGAGTTCAACCACACC